CACCTTGAACATGAAATAAATAGTGGCGTACAATGTTCTTGTTTCATATGTGTGCGGAACAATACAGCAGTTTGACAGCTGCCTACTTCATATTTGAGCAGAAGAGAAAATGACAGGTTCTTTTCACCCTTAATTAATCTCATGCGCAGTTGATGGTGTACCTTGATATTTTCTCCCTTAATGCATTTCAATACACGAAATCCCGATGACAACTGGGTAAGGTCAAGAGTGAGTCCATTATATATTCGCATAGTTTATTGATGCATGCAGACCTTACTTTCTATATTCGCATAGTTTAAAAAACGGTCGTTGTCGATTATTAATAATAAATGAGCCATGCAATTATTATTCATTATCTTTCCCTGACCTACACGCTACTTTGTCTGTGTGCCTTGTAATGGACGGGGGCAAATCCTACTGAAAAATTAATTTCATCCTGGAAGGTTATGAAATGACAGGGCTCTGCTGGCTACGTATTTACATTTTCCAACAACTGCCTCGAGTAAGACAAACATGCATAATTTACGGGTTTACTCGTGAAAATGAAGTGTTTATAAAGAGCTTATAGACATTTCCTTCCGTAACTCATTTAATCTGTTAAACATTCCATGTTAAATTGCTACATGAATATTACTCGTATTTACTGCGGAAACATTAGCATTTGGTAAACACGACGGAGAAAGTAATTTGCTCATTAATACCGTGCTGGTAACAAGTTTCCTGAAAAGAAGAGGGAAATTTTTGTTTGTAATTTTTCAAAATATTAATTATGTATGGGTCTTGTTCTGGTGATAATGGAGTAGGAAACAGTAAAGAACTTCCATCGAGTTATTATTTATGTCTCTCTCAAAAAGGGGTTCAGAGAAATTACGAGGATGAGACAAATCCTAAATACAGAAACAAATCACAGTTTAATAAACATCAGAATAAAGCAGTAGGTATTAGTCACATGAATCACACGAATCCATACCAGACCACAAAATGTGGTGACGCGGTGGTATTATTATTATTATTCTAGTACTACAGTTTACTCTATTTGGCGTAAAGAGACCAAATAAAAAGAGGTATGCTAGAATTTCATAGTGAAACCAATACCTCACAAAACTGGCAGCGCGGATTTATGTATACATGAAAGTAAGCCTGGAATCTTTTGAACTTTGCTGGAGACATGTTTACAAAGAGAGAGACTCGTCATGGACAGAGAGAGAGACTTATTATTGAACGTATCGTATCCAACCGCAGTATTTTGGGTCAGATAACTCAAATACTTTTACATAATTGGGTAAGGTGCTGTCGTCTGTTTTGTTTAGGTTTCGCCTCTACTAGACGGAGGGAGACCATCGTAGAAAGAGTTCCTTGTTTCACGATGTGTGTAAAGCCTGTGGGTCGGACTACCTCAACATGTAAGACGAGGAACAATTAACAATGGGTGCAGTAAACGCTTGAACAAGATCAATTAGTTCGGTAGTCCGACCCTCCAAGTCTTAGTAGTCAAAACATTGGCTGGAGGAACTGACCAGCATTATGCAACACTGGCTGAGATTGTAAACAACGCAAACGGGGAGCTATTAACTTTAACCACTGGCTATGTAAGTACGTGCACACATATGAGGACGCCAACGCATATGCCCTTTAAGACCCACATCTTATAAAATGCGAGATATTTCGACCAGCTCAACTTCCACTCCGTATATTAAGAATTCTTCTTGAGGTCAAAATATATTACGTATTGTACGTTCATCTCTTTGCCCATAGTTCAAGTATCATCTATCTATTTTTCTATTTTAGTTCTTCTCCAGTGCAACTTTCAAATCCCGCACGTCTGACGCTTCTTCTTACATCACCAACTTTATTTATCTGTCTGTGGTTGAAATGGCATATGCCTTTTATTCCAGAAGCAAAAGAGTTGCAGATAAGTAAAGTCCTTTGAGGAGTTTTCCTAAAGAAGATGAATTGCTGAATTGTGGAGAGTGGTGAAGAGACCAAAGCAAAGCTAAATTCGTGTACAACGGGACCATATCGCCGTCTTGAGAGAGATGATCGCTTTTAAGGAATCAGTGCCCCACATGGACAATGATTTGTCTCGTAAAAAACCTCATGATGAGCACACATGTTGCTTTCCCACAATGCGGGTAGTGATCATCTCTTCTCGGTTGTCAGTGTGTGACGCCAAACATAAAGCACGATGCCAAAACAGAAATTCTGATTTCCATGGACAGAAAGTTTGAAACTGGGAAGCCATTCTCAACTAGAAGTACTTGTATTTTGTAAACTAGTGTTGATAAGGTTTAAACTTTGTTCAACTTTGACTCAGTGGACCAACTCTGTTTTTTAACCAGTGACGAAAACTATGGGTGACCTGCTTAGAGCCGAAGGAGGAAAAGGAAGGGTTAAAGCAGAAGACGTTGTTGGAGTGAAACCTAATCCTGGAAGTGAATGTTGTGTCACATCTCAACCTCATCTGCTCCTTTTTTTAATGGGCTCATCTTTTTCCCGATCCGGTTTCAACTCTGAGCTTTTCACTTTTTACTTTACCAATACAAACAAATTCATATCGTCCAGAGCAGATAATGTGCAGCAGCAGAAAACAGAGAGCCCTCTGCTCATTTAATTTACAATGCGGTTCGTGATACTCAATCTTTTTACTTTTCCATACTCTGAATAGAACAACCAAAGATAAGAAAGACACTGACCCCCATCACCAGACACGAAATCTGGCCGCAACGTAAAACCACAAATACCAAACGCTTTCATTTCATCATTATTTCAATATGAAACTTACAAACACGGGGTCCTCGTAGAGCTTAAAAACCGATGATGATGATGGGAAAGTAAATGGTTGTGGTGTGGCGGCAGTGTCACAAATGGTGGATATTGAGTACTAATTACGTTGCGGAGGACATTCTCGGTTTCAACAATACCATCAAGGTTGTTCCTGACAAGACATAAATTCAGCAGTAGTAGAGTAGGAATCGGAGTATGTAGTATATCGTTTCAGAGCAGTTTTGTGTAGCGTAACCGTTTTAATCACGTAAAGAGAGCCACGTCCAAATTGTATTTTACAATGTGACCATGAATCGGTTAAAGTGGCAGTTTCATTGGGACATGAATATTGCATAGAAGAAGACGCAGAGTTCGAGCTTCTTTACTATCTTTTGGTTTCATTTTCATTTGGTCATCATGATAAGGAAATCTATATAGACCGCTCTCGTACAGTTCCCTTGATTGCAATTGACACTTTAATTCATGAGACACAAAGCGTAGCAGTTTGGGTTAATGGGTCTTCTTATTGGTTTTTAGTGAAGAATGTGTAAATAAAGGTGGGAAGAAAAATAAACCGAGGTCAAAAATTCAATCCACGCAGAATTCGCATTCTAGGTTGAGAAAAACGACCTTGATACCAATTCGTGTGACTCTGATACGTTTTTTTGGCACCGGGATGAACCACAATTTGTTTAATGTGTGACATGCGACGGGTTTCTCTGTCATTGCACTGCAGTGCTGTCACCTCTTCCACTATTAGCGGTTATTTATAATATGTAAATAGTAGATAAGCAATGGGTCATATACACACACATAAATACGTAGTTGTCGCATCATCATACGCCTTAGCTTTTTGGTATGGTATCCTTCATCTCAATAAGTTTCGAGAATCGGAAGCACAAATTCGGAACACTGATTTCCGTATCTTGTGCAAATCTTGTACAATATATCAAAATCTGTCAGAACGACAAACACGCGTTAATTCCATTGCGGACAAGTGCTCTGAAATAGTTTAGAGAGTCTCAAGTTGAGATTAGTTTAGTTTCGGGAATTCGGGAACCAAGAGCGAGTATCTGACAAGTACCGTATCTGACAAGTACCGTAGAAAATGAAATAAATGGGTCCCATGGCCCTGATTTCAGCAAATGCTCAACACCATTCCGCGTATCTAATCCGCCAAAGCAAATAGCAAGGTAAGCCTATAAATTTGCCCACCATTGCAGATGTTTGTTTCGGATGAATCTGACGCCAAGCCACTCAGGCTGAAAATAATGCTGGCATATAGAAAATCAAAAATAGCCCGGAAGGACTGTGCCACATACTGCATTGCTCCTGAAGCTGAGGCGAAATTGATTTAGTGCTGTGTCGACCCAAGTGATCACTACGGATTTTGCTGCTGCTGTTAACTAAACTAACACGCCTAGTGTTGCCGAGTCTCGAAACATGTTTGCGGTAGGTAATAGAGACGCTGTTGACCTGGAATATTTATTTATTTACTGCGGAACACGTTCTTCTTATTACGAGCTCAACTCCATCCTCGCCAACACCACCAGTGGCAAAATGTCTCGCTATAAAACTCATGCCCCTTGCACCCAAACGACTTTCACACTCTGCAAACTTTTCCTCCATCAACACTTTTCTTCTTTCCCAAGACTTTTATGCAATGCAGTTGCAAAATTTAGACGACGCCGTTTTATTCGACGACGTCAAAACCTTGGAGGAGGCCCAAATCGGATTTCTCATAAATGGGCAAAATACCTTCCAGTATATATAATCCCTTGGGCGCAGAGTATGCAAAATCGGATTTAAAAACTGGACAGCCTCAATAAAGGATTACAGCGGGTATGGAGATGACGACCTATCCCATCGAATTTGATTTGGTCATTCAATGTCATTGTGATGCAAATGCGAATTTACCCGAAAGTGAATTTTCCGCGAGATGAGAATTTATGCCAAAACCATGCTTCATTTTCAAATTAACTCCAGGTTGCCAGCAGGATTGCAGCATATGCACAGAGTCAGGTTACGTTAGCTCACACCACGTAGAAAGTATGGACCCTAACAGAAAGTGAGTAGAGGAATGAAGTAACTTTCTCACTTTGAAATAGGTAAATCTCAAACAAAGAAAACAAAAGTAGACTTCTCTCCACATGCTGGCAACGTGACAGGAGTAAACTTGAAAACGACGCATGGAATGAAAACCTAGAAAAGTGGGAGTATAATAGTAAATGACTAACCTTTAATTTCTGGGTGAGAGATTTGTCTGGGCTGCGGCTGCTGCTGCTGTTGTCCCATCTCGCATGCACCATGACGTCCCGTACAAACTTGTCCCATTGGAGCGGCCAGTTTTTCTGCAAGTCAATCAACCATTCATCATCATTCTCGTCCATCGTCAAAATCATTATGCCTGACCACCGGGCTTTTTTTCGCGTAACAAAAATACACGAGAATTTGTTTCGAACTTTTACACATCGTACGTACGTACAAACTTTCCGGTCATTGGCACAACCAGCTCGGCTCGAGTGTTATGCAACAACAACAAAACGCGGTCATTGTCATTACCATTAATGACCGTTTTAGAGTAATGGGCAAGCAGGGGGCCTTATTAGAGACGGGTGTAAAATAAATATTTGACTACAAAGTTTTGGGAGGCGACGGAAAGTCATTCCTTCCGAAATTTCATGCCTGGCACAAAAGCAGAGAGAGACGAGGACGCTTAGGTTTCGTAATAATCTCAATTTAGGCGCAGACGTGCTCGAGAATGCGTCTCTTTGCATTTGTCGTACACAGAGCACGGAGCAAGCAAGCAAGCAAGCAAGCAAGCAAGTCCGGCTGACGGACGGACGAATGGACGGAGATTCAATTTTAGAGTGAACAATTACTAACAGTCCTTGTTACGACACATTTCCTCTGGGCATAAACTAGCATAAGTTTTCGCCATTCCATCCTAAATTCATTATGTATGAGTGGAGTGAGAGGCCGATCAATTTCTGTGGGACACTCGGGGGACTGCATGAAGGAGGAATATAATAAAGAGAGAGAGGCCATAATACGGTGGATGAAGTTAAGAAACGGAAAGGGAACTGCGCCGCCGGATGAGAAAGTCGATGGACTGGGTCGTGTGAGAAGAAAGTTGTGCAAGACCAGAGAAGCGAACGGGGAGGTATAAGCAGCAGAGACCAATGGCGTCCCTGACCTGTCCCAACCCTACCCCAACGAAACGACTCCCTATTTGCAAGATGGAAGCCGTCACTTATGCAACCGGAATTAGGAGGGAAAGTTCATGAGCAGAATTCTGATGGGGGAGGCAGATTCCGTGATGGGAGAAAATGGGAGAGATGTCAAAAGAAAATACGCAGAAACGAGAAATAATATTCATGGCATATATAATGAATGATTAGCAACTGCTGCTACAGTCCGCTCTTTGATTTTCGGCTATAGGTACGTCCATAGGTATTGCATAAGACTAAAGAGAGAGACATAGATATAAAATGCTACGTATACGTATATCCTTGCCATGGCCCTTCCCAGTTCAAGTGGAGAATTTTAATAGCTATGGAGCTGAAACAAATAAGTCTCCCTGTCTGGATAAGATTCCGTGCTGCCTGACGCGCTCCTATATCTCCTCCTTCTTAACTTTCTTGTTAGTATGTATCAAGGAACTTTCATGTACTAACAAGCAACCATTTCCTCCGGATGAAGAAAATAAGCTCAAAAGTTGTTGGATTTAGATCTCAAACGAAAAGCAAACTTTGCAAACTTTCCACTCCACCGATACATCCCAACCAACTCCTGAGACCACCAACCTAAAAGTTTTTTTCTGCATCACCAGAGAAAATGTTGTCTACAATTTAGTCTGATAAAAAAATTGAATGACATAATAATGAGAATTTTCCATATTGTGTAGTTTTCTGCATGTAATAGGCAAGCGTCGGAGAACGTTTGGTCTGTGCACGATTGGATGGAGCAGCCCAAGGCCTCAAACTCCAAACTCCTCTCAACCCATCCGTCGGCGTCGTCCTCGTCGTCGTCGTCGCCGTAATGCTGCGGATTGTTGGAACAAGCAATTTTCCTGAGCGAGCATGTTCAACATTTAATGCAATGACATGAGAGCTTCTGTGAGAGGATTGGATGATGGGAGATGAAAAGGAGTCTATTTCTGTCCCCTACCTACCTCAAAGCTTTCATTCGCTGAAATTCTCATGGCCATGGAACTTTCTCCGCTCAAGGACAGTGGAAGGGCAGGAAAAACAGAGAGAGAGAGAGAGAAAGAGAAAGAGGAGAGAATCAGGGACGAATGGTTCGGTTGTTGAAACATGAACAAGTGGTGAAAGTTGAATTTTCTCCCAAGGCCATACTTATATACACATCAACGGTACATAAAGCACTTAACAAGCCTGAAGAGGGATCAAGAGGAGAGAAAGCAAAAGTATATGCGAGGAAAGGTCAGGGTTCACTTCTTTTGATCTTCCATTACTTTAATTCTCTCAGACTTGTTTCACATTAAGTTGGTGATGAAACACTCTAAGGCTTAAATCCAGACATGCTACTCTCAAATTTCTAACGCAGTGGACGGACGTCAAACTATTTCTATGGGAAGGATCGAGTGTACAGAATGTACGGCTAGATATCGGGTTCTTCTCCCCCGGTGGGATTTTCTACCTTATTAACCAACATCCCATGAACACAATTTCGTTTTAAAGTATATACACTGCTCTGTCTGCTACCTTGGATGGTGAAACACGAGAGAGAAAGCAAGGACGAGAGACAGGAGAGAATTTGACGCATAATAAACCAGAGAGAAAACAAAAGGGATTTGATTTGATGAAGGAGTGATGCTCTCCTTTGACAGTGTGTGTTCATAAAGTGTTCTTCTCCGATTCGGTGTTTTCCCTGCCGTGTACTTACTGTCAACGTGCTTGTACATAACCAACGTACTCTCTCTCAGATGCTTTCACTTTTGAGATGCTTTTCATAATCCCTGACATTTAAATCCTCAACTAAAAGGCCTCTTTTTAAAAACCCTACAAATTCAACTTAGAATTTACTTCACGGATTGCAAAACTTCAAACTCGGCATTTGTAAGCCCTAATCGTGCATGACCCGAACTACATACATACTACGTACGAACATATTGCCAGCTCCGGTTGCTGGAATCCTGGTTTTTGTAAATTTAGGAGAAACCTCTTTTTAAAAAAAATTAAAGGAAATCTATTTGAGAATTCAGTACATGTAGTTTTGAAATTGTTACGAGATTTTCGACTTTTCTAAGCTTTGGTGCATTTTCTAAACCCGTGTGCATCCTGGAAAAGCAAGTTGCAATGAATGGCATGGCATGATTTTGGAGTTGGAAGTGCAACTGGATACGTAGGTATGCCCCATTATTGACGCTATCCTGCTGGTTAATCAAATTGAAAGCTATCCATCCAGGGTTTACATTTCATGCTTTCACTCTATATGATGAGTGAGTTTTCAAGAGAGGAGGATTAGGAAATTGAGTTGTTTGTGAAGCAGTACATCACATCAAGGCCTGGAGGAGGCAGGAGTGGTGGTGCTGCTGCTGTAAAGTGGGGGTTCTTTCATTCCATGGAAATTGATCCATCCCATCATTCCATGGTTCACAAGCCTCTTCTCGTTGGCCAAGGCTTGGGTTTGATTTCGTCATCATATAAATTTTGTTTTCTGAGTCCATGTCACGGCCAAACATTTGCCTGTTGAACTTACTCCGCGTAGGGCGCAGGCTTATGTATTGCTTAGCGAGAAAAATCGTTATTTGCAACTCTGGTGTCCTACCTGCAAGTATTGGGTTGGCTGCTGCGATGTTTGCCTTATTGTGTTGTCCATTATGAGGTCCACACAGCGTATTTGCCAAGATGGATCCCATCTTTCCTCCTCCGCTGCTCGGGTTATTGTTCGAAGTAGAGGCTCGAGCGAGATGAAGAATACTTGGGACTGCTTCTTCTAAGCTGATTTCCATCCCCATTTTAGAATCTGGAGGCTTCTTACGCCTTCGTGGTACGTTCTGAAGTCGCGATGACTCCATCTCTATGCCATTGGTCCCGTTGCTATTCTGTTGCTGTTGATTCTGCTGACTGTATGCCAGGAATTGCTGGAGGGATTGGTGGTGATGAGGATTGTTCCCAAAGTGACCATTTTGACCGGTCGGTTGCTGTTGATGCTGCTGCTGCTGCTGTTGCTGCTGTTGGCCTTGTTGGCTTTGATTGTTGTTACTGCTGTGGCTTATCCCGTTGTTGTTGCTGTTGTTGGACGGGTGATTGGGATGATTTGTCGCCCGATTTGGTTCTAGGATTTCATCTAAAAGTGGGTCCAGCTCGAACGGTTCGTCACCCAATTGCTTGACCCAATCGTCATCGTCGTCATCCAGCGTGGAAACGAGACCGTTCAGATCTGCCTGCGATAATTGGGAGAGCGTGGGGAGTTCGGGTGCATCTCCAGACTCGGGGTGACCAGTTCCACCACCGCCACCGCCGCCGCCTCCTCCATTGTTCATGAAGTTGAAGGCGGGTGCGGATGACGCGGCTTGGGGGGAGACGCTGGATGGTGGGGATGAGCTTGAACTGACGACAGGTCCACTTGTAGAGCTCACGGTATTGTTGGTCACATTGGGGAAGCGAAGATGATGGTGACTGTGGTGGTGGTTGGAGGGGAATGGGCCCAAAGGATGGTGACTACTGTTGCTGGACCCGTGATTGTTCCCTCCACCGCCGCCTGCACTGGTGAAGCCGGTGCTGCTCGAGACGAGACCTCCTCCTCCTCCTGGACCACCCTCCTGAAATTATCAACAACAAGAACAAGTTAGTTTATGTTATACATTGGGATTGAATTATTAATTGTGAAGTAATTTCACACAGAAATATCATAATTGGTGACATGAACCTGAACATAAAGACACCGCAAGGTCAAATATACATGTGTAGTAAGTAGTAGAGTTTGAAATACATACGTCCTGTACATAGTAATATTGTTGCATATAATTCGTTATGTTTGGTTGATTTACAACCGTAGAACTAAAATACATGTACATTGTCTTCTAACATTTGCTAGCAGGCAATTCAAACTGTAAAATTACTGTGGATCAAAAATTGGCAAAATTTATAAAAAAAACAAAGTCATTCAGGTTGAACAAAATATTTCTTCTACATGCAAGTAATTAAATCATGCCGGCTTAGGAATCATAGTTTGCGAAATATTCATAATAATAAGAATTGTAAGGCTTTACTATGTCAGTTGTTAATGAGTTTGCAAAAATATATCCCAACTTGGCGAACAACTTAAAAAGCTCTCTCATCTGTAAAACCTTCCCCGTGCATTAGCAGAATTCCTTTATGGAAGGAAATAATTTGTGCTTTATTAAAAACTAAATTAAAGCTCGCAACATTTTCCAGTTTGACATAAAATGTTTTCATAAAGTTAAACTCCTGCCTATGAAAAGATACGAGGTGGAGTTCTGCGTTGAAGTTGAGACGGTGAAAGGATTGAGTTTTGACGGCCCATGCCCACTTTCTCCTATGTATTTCTACTTGTTTTCACTGTCAACTGCTATGCGGTACAAAACCTTGCGTGGTTTTCCTACTTTTGAGAAAGCGTGTCACCCTTTCTAAACATTTATGATTCAATTTAGGCGTCCTAAAAGGGCAATTAGCTGGAGAAGTTTCCACCTCCAACCACCACATGAAATATTAATTATTCGACGTAAAACGTCAAAATTTTATTACGACACTCTCGGCTTAACTCCGAAAACTCGCCTGGAACCGAAAAAGCGTGTCGCGTAAATGATTTTTTATATGCACTCTCACGAAAACGGTTAATATAAACGAATAATATATTTCCAGGTGTTTCTAGTATTTCTTTTATACTGAGCAAGAATGTCATATCATTATAAAAATATCAAGCGATTAGAATTTTCATGGTTTTAAACAAATTTTGTCAAATTGCATGCAAAACTAATTATTTCAATACTTGAAATAAAAATATATATTTTTATTTAGCAATGTCCAAATATATTTTATCAGTAATTTTGAAAATCCAAGTATTTTTTGAGATACATATGTTGTATGTATGGCATAAAAAAATTCTGCTTTAGGATTTATAATATTTTCCGTCCTGATGACGTTCGCAATCGAGATCGAAAGCAGCTTGACACCAATTAAAAAACAATCAAGTTTTTCTCATTTGTACATCCATAAACAATAACTCTCCCTATTTTCTGCTATTTTATATCCCTATCTAAATAATAATAAATACATACATAATTTAGTTTAATTTTCTGATCCGAATGTTTTCAGCTAATTTTACTCGTGTGATTATGAGGACAAAAAAAGCAATAAAGTTTGTCAGTTTATTAAAAACTTGCTAAAAATACTCTATTTTTACAAACTATAAGATCAACTAGGCAGTCAACAACTATTTATTAATAGTGAATATGCCACCCACTACTTCGATTATAAGTTTTATCTCGTACATACATAAATAAAAAAATCTGCCCATCCCAGGAAAAGTTTTTTATGCCCTGCTATTAATGTGACAAAATTAATGCCAGAAGAAAGTGTCCTTGTTAATTTGGGAAATGCTTTTCAGTTTTTATTGACTCATAAACATGGCTCGAAGAGTCCATCTCCTTATCTGAGAAACCCATGCCTCATTCAGTAGCAAAAAATGAAATTCTTCTGGCAAGATCATCTGTGAAAAAACTAAAATATCGAAAAAACGAGATCGAACGCATACTAACCAACGGGAACCTAATACCGATTTATTTTGGACGAATTACGAATCTATCAGTATTTTAAATACAAAGTTTTATACGGTATCGAGTGCCACGAGAAGTTGAGACATGCCCCACGCCAACGCTTTGTGACTGCACCACCAGCGCTCTCTCTCTCGCCGCTGGTGAACTACGGCTACATTTTGCTCAACTGAGGCGAGAGGGCGCAACGTGGACTGAAATCTATTTGCACCACGAGGCGTTTGGTCTCATCTCACGTCGTCTCAAAGCGACCCACGCCATGAATAATGCTCAAAGATTTTGATTATTTTATATAAAAATATACTGATTTTCAAGAACTTACGAGGCAGGAGAGGTCCATGAGTTTGCTGTCGTTGTCAGAGCACCAGAGCAAGTCCTCGTCGATGAAGGCCATGTCGTCAGAGTCCTGAAACCCACGCGGGGCTCCAGAACACGACAAGGACATCGCTTCTATGTTGATGTCCACTTTGATTTCTTGCCTCGCCCACTCGTAGCAAAGATGTTATCCTTCTCTATCTCTCCCTCTTGGCTTGGAGTGGATACTTGTTGTCCTTTTACTGTGATGGATGAGGGGTGGTCACTCCGGCAGGGTCCCGGAGCTGTCGTCCTGATCGGTTTCTTTCATATTGGTGAATCAGAGGGTAGACTGGCTGGCTTTGGGTTTACATCCCGGTCTCGGGCGAAGAGTTCTACAAAAAGAAACAAACGATTGTTACGAGCTGAACCGACTTGTGGTGAGTATTTAGCAGCCCAGCAAACAGGGGGTGGTTGAGGAGGAGGTGAAGTGTGCTAATAATAATTAATTGCAGAATGTCGTCGTACATATTGTTCCCAGAGAGGTGAGCACATCAGGGACGAATAAGCATATATGACACCATGGCACACCACCATTGCACCTGCCCTCTTAGCATGGACGATGGACTCCTTCCAAGAATCCACGACTCAATAGTTTACATTTCATAATCAAAACTTGGCCCAGTAATCAAACCCATGGTCGTCGTGTGCTTCTTCTGGGCTCTGATTAATGGTCCAACTACTTGGACAAGGTATCCGATAATTTCAATACTTCCTCCTCACATGTATGCGTTTGAATATTGTGTACAATATTTAGCCGTCGCGTCCCCTCACCACGCGCAGAACCCCCTCCTCTCTACAGACTTATTTGCAAGGTGCAGGTTTAAAATTTTGTGCAGTTTATAATTATAGATTATGTACAATCAATGCCGGCCACGTGTTCCAGCACCTTCTTAACTACTTATTATTTATACTACCCACGTACCACCGCAAAAGGTTTGTTTTGCAAAGTTCAAATTAATAGCTCTGACCACAATCTCGCATTTCATAAACATATCTTTTATTCCGTTTCACCGAATTTTAAACAATTTGTATTTCCATTTGATCATCCACCACATCGTAAAATAATAACATCCATCACCATGAAACCTACGCCCGATGCACGCACATTGATGATCAGTAAAAATCAAACCTAATTCAAATTGTTTCCAGTTTCTCTTCCTTGGAACCCAACTTGAATCAACTTAGATAAAAGTCAACCAATCCTCTAATCTAATCATGGAAACTTTTGTCTGTATCACGGTGAAAGTAAGTAGCTCAGAGGAAAATATCGGATCGATACGATGCCCACAGAGACCTTTCGAAATGTGAACTGGATCTCGCAAGTCATTACTTGAGAATTTTTTTTATCAAGTTGACTCCAAGTTTCTTCCAAGGTATAGAATGTATAGGAACCTATTCTATATAGAAAAGCTATCAGTTTCCATTTGAAGAATTGCATGTCCTGATTTTGTAATGCCCAAGAAAACCTAAGCAGCGTCAACGACCCCATCACCACTGTATTCTCGGGAATTGGTCACGCTGCATAAAAATGATAGATCATTTGCAGATCATTTGCAACGCGTGATGATGAAGGTACAATAGGACCTGGAATCTCGAACTTCTTCTTACGTGAACTAATCAAAGTGACAATGAAATTTTTATAATAATTGCCGTACTGCACAATGACAAGGAGTCTGACAAACAGGGAATGAATTTCGAAGCAGGTGACAAACCGTCAGCCAGTTGATGTGATTGACTTTTCAATAAAGCGTTATGAAATCAAACGCGCGGTACATGTGAGTATTATTATTAAATCAAATTATTCATATGAAACGGTTCGTTTTTCGCCAGATATGCCCACGCTTGACTGCAGTAACGAGCAATTATTAGCAATTTCGGTTGGTAGGAATTATTACTTGCATCCTAGTTTCAAAAGTGAAAGTAAGTATTCGGGTAATTTGAACAAGTAGAGTTCAGAATAGTGGAAACTTTGAGATATAGTAAAAGTTCAAACACCTCTCTTCCAATAAATTCTTCACAACAAGTGCTTAAATAACTTTCCTATATTTTTATGAAGTCGTAAAAAAATTAAAAGTTGTGTACTTTTTACTATTCCGTAAAAACAGTAGATATCAAAGAAATTGAGACTTTTTGAAAGGAATAGAGAATAATTTCATGTGTGATTCTCAACATATAGAAATGTAACCTGTCACCTTTCTACTTTTTTTACAACTTGATCCTGTCTTTCCCCCACTCGTGCATCTTTAATGTTGAGTCATCAAAAGTGCAATTTATCAAATCCAGTTTGAGACTGAGAGTTGAGTTAATAAACAATGGTTGAACTGCATATTACATTGTTCCAATGCATACATATTACATTTGTTATGCTCTGCTCACTCATAGTGTGTGTGTACGTATGCAAATCGCATTAATGCGAGTTAATGAAGGTGCAACATGCCAAACGGCACACACATTGTAAAGTTCGTCAACTCTTCTCTACACAAGTCAGTTTTATGTGCATAATGACCACGGGATTTTTTAAAACAAGATGCACAGCTCGTTACCATTAAACGACCACGTGGTAGCTACGCACCCCCAGAGGAAGGCAATGACCCCACACCACCTTCGTCTCAAAGTGCATCAGATGCAGTGGAAGTGAAGAACAACAATGCAAGGGAAGAAATTCGCCAACCAACAACGTGCTATCTCTGTATGTGTGTAAATATGTAGCTGATTTGCACCACTCGCTATCGGTCACATCTCACTTTCCCTTCGTACCTATGGGGGAATCATTCGCATTGCCTTGTGTGTGCTAGCAAGTTTTTAAACTCCTCTGGCTCTTAAGCACATGCCATTTCGTGTAATATCTAACTTTGCCATCGCTGCTGCAACCTTTTGCACGAGCAGTTCCTTAAGAAGAGACTTGTAATAGTGCGCAAAAACTGTCGCTCTTTTTTTGCCAACAATGAGACTGTAATCGGCAAATATAGTCGAACGTCCGGCCTTACCAACGTTAGGATGATACGTTATTATGAACAGTGTGCTCTACTCGTGGGATTTAAAAAATACGGCCTGTCAATATTGAGCGAATTTCTAAAATATCTATAAAAAAAACTGCCAATAATTTATGATTTATTTTAACATTTTTTAAGCTTTACTAACGCTTATATTGATAGGAAATGGGTGGATGGATGTATAGTATACGTATAGTACAGTTCGCAAATTGTACACTTTTTCCTTATAATAACATTGGCAACAATTATTCTTCCGAGGTCATGTCATTACGATATCCCGATTTTTATCAAATTTCACGTGTCAGTAATTTGTATCAGCTTCCTAAAACAATTGTGTTTGCATGCCAATATTTTCAAGACTCTTGTTCCATCAGGAATAATAATAATAATAGCATCACAACGTTTATAATTAAGAATTACTTTACAATTTTCAAGATCCTGATCTCAAAAGAAGTTGTTTAACATTGAACTACACTCCCAAGTAAGGTCTTTAAGGTTTCTCAGAATTGACATTCTTCCACTTCATTCATTGCGTACTAACTCGTGCAACGTTGTGTTATTAGGAAATGTAGTAGTATAAGTACAAATATATGTATGTATATATCGTATACACACACTTGTCCATAAAAGCTGACTATCGTATGTGCATACATATCACGTATATCTCACATCATCTCACTCACTTTGACTCCAAACAGTTAAGGTTACCAATTCTTGAACGCACATGGAGTCGTAAAAAGTGCATAAAAAGTAAGCAACATCAGCAGTCAACAATCTTGAATCATTGCTCAACTAATGGCTCAAGAGAGTAGTGCTCTGCTGGTAATAACAATGAGTAAGGAAGTGGCCTTGGCTATGGACCTTGGTTGCTTGGTCGGTGGGACCTTAGAATGCGCACAAGTTCAACAATGCCCTCATTGGATTGGCATGGCAATAATTAATAACTCATGAACACATACTCACACAGCATCTCATCCAACGTAAGAAAGAGTGACGTTTGCTGCTGCTGGTGAATCAGAATCATCAGTTGTATTCGCTGCTGTTGAGATAATGGTGAGCCTTCAACGTGGCCTTCGACGGAGAGTGAACGTGGTGAGGCCACACTCACCTTTACCTTCATACTCCCAACCAACTACCATTCTCGTCGGCATTGAACAACAGTATTCGCATCTTATTATTACCAATATTCGCAATCATCTCTCGACATGTGCTCAGAAACAAAATGTCGATTAAGTATGGGCAGGTCTGCCACCAAGTATGACTTTGTGCATGATTTACGCGAGGGTGGGGAGAAACAACCCGACGTCGACAAAAGACCTCATATCATTTATCCCATCGATACGCCATAGATGGATTGTCGACATGAGCAAAATTTCATTTTTCCACTCATTTTCCAATAATTTAGTCACAACAATGACTAGAAAAGCAATAAGTTGATACTGATTTTTAACTGTATATGTATAGAGACGTACATTTTTGTGTCAAAGAATAGGATACAAATTTGAAAGAATTTACAGCTCACAATTGGCAACCATCGCACACATTTGCAGAAAAGTATTGACAGAATTGACACAAGTCGAAGGACGCGATTCCGCATCCTAGGTCACCAACACCTCCACGTATCTCTCCGTATCAAGTTAACATGTGCCAATACCTATGTCCCGGCGATATCGGAATGCTAATCATTCTACATGTGTAGTAGTTTTAAAAGCGTGTATCACATCTTTTATCAGCCCATTTATACAAAATTCAGTGTTAAAATCAAGGTGGATTCCTGTTCGATACGCACAGTTTTCGTATGCCTCGAATAATCCAAACACCACTCGTCATGCTTAATCACTGTTTACGGAAACTCAGCATATCAATTCTTTTCGTGATACATGTGTGTAAAGCATATTCATGGCAATTTTAACTCTGCTACTAAATAAATTTGTACATTTTCACCAACTGCGAATACATGTGTAGTTTTCCCAGTGTTCAGGATAAATTATGTTGTTAAATGCACACAGAGCTGCCTACATACAATTGTACAAATTGTTTCCCTTTAAAACATGAGATGATCACATTTAAATGCATAATTTGTATTATACTAAAAAGTCATGATACACGTCCTTCATCACTCTTCCGCAACTAAGTGGCTAAATAAAATGTTAAGTTCAAGTGAAAAGACGACTCCAATGGTTTACCAGTCGTGCATATGTATGTACATTATTTGCACATACTAAAAACTTCAAAGGGCTCAATCACGGTATATTCTATACATTATGTAGCAGTTTCACAGCCACAGTAATTGAAATAACATTGAACAAGCCCAAGACTCAACGTTTGCGATTTTCATC